TATTCTTCAGCTTACTGACTGATATTTAAATCTTTCAACTCAAGCGTCATTTAATTTTAACCTCTACAATGATGAAATAGAGAAAAAAATATTTTTTTTGTTCAAGATTTGAAGCAATATTTCTGTACTAATCTTATTTTCTTATTTTAACTTTTAGTGAACAAAATACTGAGGAATAACGTCAGTGGTTAAACTAGTTAGGTGCTAATGTTAGGCTGGATAAGTTTAAAACTTATCTTAGTAAGATGTTAAGATTAGGTTAATTAGGCTTTGACAATAAATAGGATGATATATTTATATATATATATATATATTATATATATATATATATACATGTATATTACTATATATGTGTGTGATGAATGGTTTGAAAGACGTGTCTCAATCTTCAACACACACATATATATATATAATATATATATATATATATATATATATATATATATATTTTATATATATATATATATATATATATATATATATATATTTATGTATATATATATATATATATATATATATATATATATTATATATTTATATATATATATTATATATTTGTATATATATATTATATATATATATATTATATATTATATATATATATATATATATAAATATATATATATATATATATATATATATATATATATATATATAGGTAGTAGGTTGGTAGACAGCAACCACCAGGGAGGTACTACCGTCTGCCAAGTGAGTGTAATACGAAGCCTGTGATTGTTTTACATGATGGTAGGATTGCTGATGTCTTTTGTCTGTCTCATAAATATGCAAGATTACAGGCATGTCTTGCTACTTTACTTACACTTAGGTCACACTACACATACATGTACACATTTATTTATACACACTCATCTGAGTTTTCTTTGATTTTATCTTAATAGTTCTTGGTCTTATTAATTTTCCTTTTATATCCATGGGGAAGTGGAATAAGAATCTTTCCTCCGTAAGCCATGCGTGTTGTAAAGTCAACTAAAATGCCGGGAAACAATGGGCTAGTAACCCTTTTCCTGTAAAGATTACTAAAAAGAATAAGAAGAAGAAAAATTGTCAAAGTGGGAAGTCTGAATGTGCGTGGATGTTGTGCAGATGATAAGAAAGAGATGATTGTGGATGTTATGAATGAGAAGAAGCTGGATGTCCTGGCTTTAAGTGAAACAAAGCTGAAGGGGGTGGGAGAGTTTCAGTGGAGAGGAATAAATGGGATTAGGTCAGGGGTTTCAAATAGAGTTAGAGCTAAAGAAGGAGTAGCAATAATGTTGAAGGATAAGCTATGGCAGAAAAGAGGGACTATAAATGTATTAATTCAAGGATTATGTGGAGTAAATAAAGATTGGATGTGAAAAGTGGGTTATAATAAGCGTGTATGCACCTGGAGAAGAGAGAAGTGTAGAGGAGAGAGAGAGATTTTGGGAAATGTTGAGTGAATGCGTGGGGAGTTTTGAATCAAGTGTGAGAGTAATGGTGGTTGGGGATTTTTAATGCTAAAGTGGGTAAAAATGTTATGGAGGGAGTAGTAGGTAAATTTGGGGTGCCAGGGGTAAATGTAAATGGGGAGCCTTTAATTGAGCTATGTGTAGAAAGAAATTTGGTAATAAGTAATACATATTTTATGAAAAAGAGGATAAATAATATACAAGGTATGATGTAGCACGTAATGAAAGTAGTTTATTAGATTATGTATTGGTGGATAAAAGGTTGATGGGTAGGCTCCAGGATGTACATGTTTTAGAGGGGCAAACTGATATATCGGATCATTATTTAGTTGTAGTACAGTTAGAGTAAGAGGTAGATGGGAAAAGAGGAAGGTGGCAACATACAAGTAAGAGGGAAGTGAAAGTGTATAAACTAAGGGAGGAGGAAGTTCGGGTGAGATATAAGCGACTATTGGCAGAAAGGTGGGCTAGTGCAAGATGAGTAGTGGGGGGGTTGAAGAGGGTTGGAATAGTTTTAAAATGCAGTATTAGAATGTGGGGCAGAAGTTTGTGGTTATAGGAGGGTGGGGGCAGGAGGAAAGAGGAGTGATTGGTGGAATGATGAAGTAAAGGGTGTGTGATAAAAGAGAAAAAGGTAGCTTATGAGAGGTTTTTACAAAGCAGAAGTGTTATAAGAAGAGCAGAGTATATGGAGAGTAAAAGAAAGGTAAAGAGAGTGGTGAGAGAGTGCAAAAGGAGAGCAGATGATAGAGTGGGAGAGGCACTGTCAAGAAATTTTAATGAAAAATAAGAAAAAATTTTGGAGTGAGTTAAACAAGTTAAGAAAGCCTAGGGAAAATATGGATTTGTCAGTTAAAAACAGAGTAGGGGAGTTAGTAGATGGGGAGATGGGGGTATTGGGTAGATGGCGAGAATATTTTGAGGAACTTTTAAATGTTAAGGAAGAAACAGAGGCAGTAATTTCATGCACTGGTCAGGGAGGTATACCATCTTTTTAGGAGTGAAGAAGAGCAGATGTAAGTGTGGGGGAGGTACGTGAGGCATTACGTAAAATGAAAGGGGGTTTAAAGCAGCTGGAACTGATGGGATCATGACAGAAATGTTAAAAGCAGGGGGGGATATAGTGTTGGAGTGGTTGGTACTTTTGTTTAATAAATGTATGAAAGGGGAAGGTACCTAGGGATTGGCAGAGAGCTGTATAGTCCTTTATATAAGGGAAAGGGGACAAAAGAGACTGTAAAAATTATAGAGGAATAAGCTTACTGAGTATACCAGGAAAAGTGTACGGTAGGGGTTATAATTGAAAGAATTAGAGGTAAGACAGAATGTAGGATTGCGGTATGAGCAAGGAGGTTTTAGAGTGGGTAGGGGATGTGTAGATCAGGTGTTACATTGAAGCATATATGTGAACAGTATTTAGATAAAGATAGGGAAGTTTTTATTGCATTTATGGATTTAGAAAAGGCATATGATAGAGTGGATAGAGGGAGCAATGTGGCAGATGTTGCAAGTATATGGAATAGGTGGTAAGTTATTTAAATGCTGGTAAAGAGTTTTTATGAGGATAGTGAGGCTCAGGTTAGGGTGTGTAGAATGAGAGGGAGAATACTTCCGGTAAAAGTAGGTCTTAGACAGGGATGTGTAATGTCACCATGGTTGTTTAATATATTTATAGATGGGGTTGTAAAGGAAGTAAATGCTAGGGTGTTTGGGAGAGGGGTGGGATTAAATTATGGGGAATCAAATTCAAAATGGGAATTGACACAGTTACTTTTGCTGATGATACTGTGCTTATGGGAGATTCTAAAGAAAAATTGCAAAGGTTTAGTGGATGAGTTTGGGAATGTGTGTAAAGGTAGAAAGTTGAAAGTGAACATAGAAAGAGTAAGGTGATGAGGGTGTCAAATGATTTAGATAAAGAAAAATTGGATATCAAATTGGGGAGGAGGAGTATGGAAGAAGTGAATGTTTTAGATACTTGGGAGTTGACGTGTCGGCGGATGGATTTATGAAGGATGAGGTTAATCATAGAATTGATGAGGGAAAAAAGGTGAGTGGTGCGTTGAGGTATATGTGGAGTCAAAAAACGTTATCTATGGAGGCAAAGAAGGGAATGTATGAAAGTATAGTAGTACCAACACTCTTATATGGGTGTGAAGCTTGGGTGGTAAATGCTAGCAGCGAGGAGACGGTTGGAGGCAGCGGAGATGTCCTGTTTAAGGGCAATGTGTGGTGTAAATATTATGCAGAAAATTCGGAGTGTGGAAATTAGGAGAAGGTGTGGAGTTAATAAAAGTATTAGTCAGAGGGCAGAAGAGGGGTTGTTGAGGTGGTTTGGTCATTTAGAGAGAATGGATCACAGTAGAATGACATGGAAAGCATATAAATCTATAGGGGAAGGAAGGCGGGGTAGGGGTCGTCCTCGAAAGGGTTGGAGAGAGGGGGTAAAGGAGGTTTTGTGGGTAAGGGGCTTGGACTTCCAGCAAGCGTGCGTGAGCGTGTTAGATAGGAGTGAATGGAGACGAATGGTACTTGGGACCTGACGATCTGTTGGAGTGTGAGCAGGGTAATATTTAGTGAAGGGATTCAGGGAAACGGTTATTTTCATATAGTCGGACTTGAGTCCTGGAAATGGGAAGTACAATGCCTGCACTTTAAAGGAGGGGTTTGGGATATTGGCAGTTTGGAGGGATATGTTGTGTATCTTTATATGTTTATGCTTCTAGGACTGTTGTATTCTGAGCACCTCTGCAAAAACAGTGATAATGTGCGAGTGTGGTGAAAGTGTTGAATGATGATGAAAGTATTTCTTTTGGGGATTTTCTTTCTTTTTTGGGTCACCCTGCCTCGGTGGGAGACGGCCGACTTGTTGAAAAAAAAAAAAAAAAAAAAAAAAATATATATATATATATATATATATATATATATATATATATATATATATATATATATATATATATATATTATATATGTCGTGCCGAATATGTAAAACTGGTCAATTAGCAAGAATCATTGAAAATTAAGTCCTTTCTAAAATTTTCTCTTATGCGTTTAAAGATATATTTTTTTCATTAATGTTGATGTAAAAATTTATAATTTTGCACCAAAAGGAACTTAGAAAACTTACCTAACCTTATTATAACAAGAACAATTTATTTTAGCCTAACCCAACTAAAATATATTTTAGATTTGTTTACAATAATTTAATACTAAGCAAACACAGTGAAATATATTTTTTTCGTTAGGTTCAGAATGATTTGGCGAAATTATTGCATACACAAATTTTCACTTGTCCTATATGGCAAGATGAGCGTTGCTATTTAAGCCAAGATCGCAAGTTCTGCCTATTCGGCACGACATATATATATTATATATATATATATATATATATATATAATATATATATATATATATATATTATATATATATATATAATATATATATATATATATATATATATATATATATTATATATATATATATATATATATATATATTATATATATAATATATATATATATATAAAGAGTACGAAAATGTTTGTACCTGATACAAACCTTCACAGATTTAAGTGTCTATATACCACTTGTCGGCATTACAACAATATTCGGTATATTAAGTTATGCTTTAAGGTTTGTTTAGTTAGATATCGAAGATAAGTTAGGTTTGAAAGTTATGCTTGTTAAGCATTATAATTAAACTGGTTAGATATTAAGGTCAGATAACTAAAATATAAAGGTAGTTTAATTAGTTAATTTTAGTTTAGTCGTTAGTGTTAGATCGATTAGATGTGAATATTAGGTTGGCTTTGTGGTAATGTTAGAGTAATCAGATATTAAAATTAGTGAAGTATTAGGGGAAAGAGTACTGTTAATGGTAGGAAAAATTAAAATTGCTGTCTCCTCTGTTTATATCCATCATGTGTTACATTCTCCATAAGAAATTAAACTTATTTGTAAACTGTCTTAATGCTACATGATTCTTAAATATAACTGACTTCTGCCTTCTTTATGAATGTTACATTCACTCCCCTGGCATTATCTATTTGCTGAACGTAAGTTGATGAATGAGACACTTGTGAAACACTTGGGTATCGTTACTGTGGACACGTCTCCACAATCAAGTTACCTAAGTGCTGTACAAGTGCCTTATTCATCAAGTTATAGGTTTTCTGAACCATTTATATAACAATTCCTGTCAGACACAGCAACATCTTGGGATCCTGATGCTGTGAATTCTTCTATTCTTCCTACTTCCACTTGTGGATTTTTTACAAGGTGACACCGCCTCCGACAACTTCTCCTCACCTGTCTGCCGTATTTAAGCCCCTTCGCCAGCCACTGGCTGGCGAAAAGTTTCCACGGTAAAGATTTAAGGGCAGCCAGGAACTCATCGTTATCTAGTTTCCCTTGTGTTTCTTAAGCCACTCTTCTACTGCACGCAGCTGCCAAAAAAAATAGAAAAGCATTATCATTATGTTCACAGAACAGTGCTATGGGTTTAGCACTTAATTCTGATTATAATATAATAATTTGCTCACAGAACTGGTGTTATTTAAGCGAATAACTGTCATTTCAAATAAAAGTACTTTTAAGTAAGAGACACCTTAAACTAGATCATGGAGCATTCTTAATGACAGTACGTAAATATGGTGTACATTATGTACCTTTGTGATGTACTTATCTACTGATTTTACCTTATTAAATACATTTTCTTCATTAATATCCATTTTAAGCAATATAAATCGCTGCATGTACTAATGAAACATAGAGTCCACTGATTCTATACCTTGTATCCCAATGGTCCTTCTTTGCCTTTGTAAACAATAACACTATCCTGGATGATGTAGAGCCTCTCAGGTAGAGCAGCATATGCCGTGTTAGCTTCGTCTGTGAGCATGTCCACCAGCACTGGACAATCTAGCGGCTCCATTGTTAACATCATCTGAGCTGCTGCTACCCTCTCCTCTAGAGTTCTGTAAAAATTAAGATACATAGCAGTATAGTCGCTTCCTTCTTCCATCAGTGTCAGGAAGAATGACTGGAGTTGATATTTTATGAATACTATAGCCATTTTGTGCATGTTGGTGGAAACGTGATGGAGTTATATATATTTTTTTTTACAGAAATATGCGTGAAAAATATCTCCTTGACACTAGTTGTATTGTAATGATTATCTGGGGATGTTTTTATGGGCCGCTTATTATACCTATACCTTGCCCATAAAAAAATTAGTTGTGTGTTTATATAAAATTCCACTTTCAGGTTCGCAAAGACAGTTCTTGATTCGTGAAAACGTTCATATAGAATTTGATTAAATTATCTTTGAAGAAGGTTTCACCAGGGACCATTAACCTCGGGGAAGAGAATTAACATGCTTCAAAGTTGGTGTTTCTTAGTGGAAAGTTTGAATTAGTTAAGGGATTTACACATCTTAATTCGTCATTTTTATTCGATAACTCTTGAATTCCAGATCAAATTTGTTTCATATCTTTAATATCTATATATTTAACTGTATTATGAAATTGTGTCACCCTCTGCATTGATCTTTTTGCGTGCACTGAAGCACATTAACCTGGAGTTATACAATACGGGGATACCTTTCTCTGATAGACCAGCGACTGAAATACATCTAGTTTAATATTTCCTTTGTGTGTTAACATTTTGTATTTTTTGTTTCTTATATATGCGACTAGTTTTACTTTCTACTTTCGGGCGTTGTTCTATATAATGCAAAATTCGTGACTGCCTTTCCCTCCCTTTCCTTCCATAAGAAAAGATTTAGTGCCATGCGCCTATGGACAGAAGCATACGAGCCATGACGAGCAGAACACATTAGGAGTCTAAGTAGAATGAAGAATGATCCAAGCAAACTTGCTATCAAGACAAGTGCAGCGAGGAATGAGTGAAGTATAACAGTAAACAACTAACTCGTTTGACAAAGACTCGTTTGTTATAAGACATTTTATACCTCATTTGGTAGTTAGGGAAGACTGGTCATAGTTGTATACCAGGGAACACTTGTTAGTTACTGAAGGCAGATAGATCACTGACGTACATTAAAGCACTTGTTAATTACTTACTGGTTAGTGAAGGTTATCATAAATCCATGAAGCTCACTTTGTTAGCGAAATTTAATTTATTAGACAAATGCTCAAACAATACAATAAAACAAATAAACTGATGTAATGGTAACTCCTGCCAAGCTGTTCCAGTGTTCTTTTTTTATGATCTTTTGTGAAATATAAATAAACACACGTGATCACACATAAGAAGTAGCGATCATAATATAAGACTTTAAATCAGGGGTCCCCAACCGGCGGCCCGAGGGCCACATGTGTGGTCCTTCTAGGAACTCGATGCGGCCCTTACGTGAAATTATGAATTCACTTTTATGTAGGTTCTGCATAGTGTCGACAATTACAAAACATCATTGTTATTATTCGTAAAAATTGTAAAAAGTACTAAATGCGGCCGTCTGTTAAATGTGGCTTATCAAACTTGACAATTTATTCTAAAACGTTGTGAACTACTGCTTTAAATAGTAAAAAAATATATATATATCACTGTGCCTTAGCCTGTTTTTCCAGATAAAAAAAACTTTTGTTTAACAAATATCTCATTTCTAAAAAAAAAAAAAAAGTCATTAAGGATAAATCATTTTCTATCACGTAGAAATATGGACCAGCTAGACTTCTTAACAAGACAAACCAACTAACTTATGGTTGGCGATCTCTACGTTGCCCTTTAAGGCCCAGCCGTCAGTGGGATGAGCCTCGGTAATATACACTGTCACGAAATCTGCCACCTCAGAGAAGTTCTCCATAATCTGTACACAAAATAAGACGACGAAGTAAGAAGTGAACAATCAATCAATATATATTTATTAAAATATATATATATAATATTTTATATATATATTTTAAAATATATATTTTTATATATATATATATATATATATATATATAATATTATATTTATTAAGACGGAGAGTAGGATAGCAGATGAACAAGGAGGCTTTAGGAACGGTAGGGGGTGTGCAGATCAAGTATTTACAGTGAAACATATAGGTGAACAGTATTTAGAAATGATAAGGAGGTTTTTATGGCATTTATGGATTTGGAAAAGGCGTATGAAAGGGTGGATAGTGGGGGGCAATATAGTAGATTTTGCAAATGTATGGATGAGGAGGTAAGTTACTGAAAGCAATGAAGAGTTTTTAAGGGTTAGAGTGTTTAAGAGAGAGCGAGATTATTTCCCAGTAAAAGTAGGCCTTAGACAAGGATGTGCGATGTCACAATGGTTCTTCAATATATTTATAGATGGGGTTGTAAGAGAAGTGAATGCTCGGGTGTTGGCAAGAGGTTTGGGGTTAAAAGATAAAGAATCTAACACAAAGTGCGAGTGTCACAGTTGCTCTTTGCTGATAACACTGTGCTTTTGGGAGATTCTGAAGAGAAGTTGCAGAGGTTGGTGGATGAGTTTGGTAGGCTATGTAAAAGAAGAAAATTAAAAGTGTTATAGGAAAGAGTAAGGTTTATCTGGAGTTTACCTGGAGAGGGTTTCGGGGGTTAATGCCCCCGCAGCTCGGTCTGAGACCAGGCCTCGTGGTGGATCAGGGTCTGATCAACCAGGCTGTTACTGCTGGCCGCACGCAAACTGACGTACGAACCACAGCCTGGTTGGTCAGGTACTGACTTTAGGTGCCTCTCCAGTGCCTTCTTGAAGACAACCAGGGGTCTATTGGTAATCCCCCGTATGTATGCTGGGAGGCAGTTGAACAGTCTTGGGCCCCGGACACTTACTGCGTTGTCTCTCAGTGTACTCGTGGTACCCCTGCTTTTCACAGGGGGAATGTTGCATCTCCTGCCTAGTCTTTTATTTTATTAGGGAGTGATTTTCGTGTGTAAGTTTGGTACTAATCCCTCTAGGATTTTCCAAGTGTACATTATCATGTATCTCTCTCTCCTGCACTCAGGGGAATATGGATCAAGAGCCTTCAACCGTTCCCAGTAATTTAGGTGCCTTATCATAATTATGTGTGCCGTGAAACTTCTTTGTACACTCTCCAGGTCAGCAATTTCTCCTGCCTTGTAGGGGGCAGTAAGTGTACAGCAGTATTCCAGCCTAGAGAGAACAAGCGATTTGAAGAGAATCATCATGGCCTTGGCATCCCTAGTTTTGAAGGTTCTCATTATTCATCCCATCATTTTCCTAGCAGATGCGGTACATACATTGTTGTGGTCTTTGAAGGCGAGATCCTCTGACATTATCACTCCCAGGTCCTTCACATTACTTTTTCGCTCTATTGTATAGCTAGGATTTGTTGTATACACTCATACAATTTTAATTTCCTCAAGTTTCCCATACCTGAGTAGTTGAAATTTCTCTTCACTGAACTTCATATTGTCTTGAGTGGCCCATTTGAAGATTTGGTTTATGTCCGCTTGGAGAATTGTGGTGTCTTCGATGGAGGTCACTGTCATGGGAATCCGGGTGTCATCCGCAAAGGAAGACACGGAGCTATGGCTTACATCTCTGCCCATGTCAGACATAAAGATGAGGAATAGAATGGGAGCGAGTACAGTACCTTGTGGAACAGAGCTTTTCACCATAGCTGCCTCAAACTTTAATTCTGTTTACTATTACTCTTAGTATTCTCTTTGTTAGGAAGTGATAGATCCCTCTACCAACTTTTCCTGTTATTTCTTCATCACTCACTTTGTGCGCTATTACACCATGGTCACACTTGTCGAAAGCTTTTGATGAGAATAAAAAAATAGGTACGAAAGATTGAATTTCAAATTGGAGGGGGAGAGTATGTAGGAGGTGAATGCATTCAGATATTTAGGAGTGGACGTGTCAGCAAATGTTTCTATGAAAGATGAAGTGAATCATAGAACTGACAAGTGGAAGCAGGTGAGTGGTGTACTGAGGAGTCAGTGGAGACAAAGAACTTTCTCCATGGAAACGAAAAGGGGAATGTATGAGAGTATTGTTATACCAACGCTATTATATGGGTGTGAAGCATGGGTGTTGAATGTTGCAACAATGAGAAGGCTGGAGGCAGAGATGTCATGTCTGAGGACAATGTGTGGTGCGAATATAATGCAGAGAATTCCTAGTTTGAAATTTAGGAGGTGTGGGATTACCAAATCTATTATCCAGAAGGTGGGGTAGAGGTCGGCCTAGGAATGGATGGAGGGAGGGGATAAAAGTAGTTTTTTGTGTGAGGGGCTTGGACTTTCAACAAGCATGTGTGAGTGTGTTAGTTATGAACGAATGGAGGCAAATGGTTTTTAGGATATGATGAGCAGTTGGAGTGTGAGCAGGGTAATATTTATGAAGGGATTTAGGGAAACTGGCAGGACGGACTTGAGTCTTGAAGATGGGAAGTACAGTGTCTGCACTGTTAATGTTAATGGGTGTTAATGTGGCAGTTGTATAACTGTAGTGTATGTGCACCTCTGGCAAGACAGTGAGGGAGTGAATTATGGTGAAAATTTTTCTTTCTCGGCCATCCTACCTTGAAGGAAAACGGCCGATATGTTAATAATAATAATAATTAATATATATATATATATATATATATATATATATATTATATATATATATATATATAAAATTTATATATATATATATATATACATATACATATATATATATATATATATATATATATATATATAATATATATATATATAAAATATAATATATATATATGTATATATATATATATGTGCGTATGTGTGTGTGTGTGTGTGTGTGTGTGTGTGTGTGTGTGTGTGTGTGTGTGTGTGTGTGTGAAATTTAGCAAGTCGGCCGTCTCCCACCGAGGCAGGGTGACCCAAAAAGAAAGAAAATCCCCAGAAAGCAAATACTTTCATCATCATTCAACACTTTCACCACACTCACACATAATCACTGTTTTTGCAGAGGAGCTCAGAATACAACAGTTTAGAAGCATATACGTATAAAGATACACAACATATCCCTCCAAACTACCAATATCCCGAACCCCTCCTTTAGAGTGCAGGCATTGTACTTCCCATTTCCAGGACTCAAGTCCGTTTATATAAAAATAACCGGTTTCCCAGAATCCCTTCACTAAATATTACCCTGCTCACACTCCAACAAATCGTCAGGTCCCAAATACCATTCACTCCTATCAAACACGCTCATGCACGCCTGCTGGAAGTCCAAGCCCCTCGTCCACAAAACCTCCCTTACCCTTCCTTCCAACCTTCTCGAGGACGACCCCTATCCCGCCTTCCTTCCCCTACAGATTTAAATGCTCTCCATGTCATTCTACTTTGATCCATTCTCTCTAAATGACCAAACTACCTCAACAACCCCTCTTCAGCCCTCTGACTAATACTTTTATTAACTCCACATCTCCTAATTTCCACACTCCTAATTTTCTGCATAATATTTACACCACACATTGCCCTTAGACAGGACATCTCCACTGCCTCCAACCGCCTCCTCGCTGCTGCATTCACAACCCAAGCTTCACATCCATATAAGAGTGTTGGTACTACTATACTTTCATACATTCCCTTCTTTGCATCCATACATAACGTTTTTTGTCTCCACATATACCTCAACGCACCACTCACCTTTTTTCCCTCATCAATTGTATGATTAACTTCATCCTTCATAAATCCATCCGCCGACATGTCAACTCCCAAGGATCTGAAAACATTCACTTCTTCCATATTCCTCCTCCCCAATTTGATATCCAATTCTTCTTTATCTAAATCATTTGATACCCTCGTCACCTTACTCTTTTCTATGTTCACTTTCAACTTTCTACCTTTGCACATACTCCCAAACTCGTCCACTAACCTTAGCAATTTTTCTTTAGAACCTCCCATAAGCACAGTATCATCAGCAAAAAGCAAAAGTGTCAATTCCAATTTTGTATTTGATTCCCCATAATTTAATCCCACCCCTCTCCCGAACACCCTAGCATTTACTTCTTTTACAACCCCATCTATAAATATATTAAACAACTATGGTGACATTACACATCCTTGTCTAAGACCTACTTTTACCGAGAAGTAAAGCTTCTGCACACCCTAACCTGTGCCTCACTATCCTCATAAAAACTCTTTAATGCATTTAATAATTTACCACCTATTCCATTTACTTGCAACATCTGCCACATTGCTTCCCTGTCTACTCTATCATATGCCTTTTCTAAATCCATAAATGCAATAAAAACTTCCCTAACTTTATCAAAATACTGTTCACATATATGCTTCAATGTAAACACATGATCTACACATCCCCTACCCACTCTAAAGCCTCCCTGCTCATCCGCAATTCTACATTCTGTCTTACCTCTAATTCTTTCAATAATAAACCTACCATACACTTTTCCTGGTATACTCAGTAAACTTATTCCTCTATAATTTTTAAAATCTCTTTTGTCCCCCTTCCCTTTATATAAAGGGACTATACAAGCTTCACACATTATGAGCACCAAGCTTCACACATTATGGGCACCAAGTTTCACACATTATGGGCACCAAGCTTCACACATTATGGGCACCAAGCTTCACACATTATGAGCACCAAGCTTCACACATTATGGGCACCAAGTTTCACACATTATGGGCGCCAAGCTTCACACATTATGGGCACCAAGCTTCACACAATACGAGCACCAAGCTTCACACATTATGGGCACCAAGCTTCACACATTATGGGTACCAAGCTTCACACATTTTGGGCACCAAGCTTCACACATTGTGAGTACCAAGCCTCACACATTATGGGCATCAAGCCTCACACATTATGGGCACCAAGCCTCACACATTATGGG